CTTGATGTCTTCGTTCGCCTTTTGTAGCCTTACCATGAGAAATATACAATGAACATTTAAGATTGCCTTATTCTGGGAACCTGCACGAAAACCTTCCTTTCCCTTTCGCGCCAGTCGCCCCTTTCCGCTTTGCCTGAGCGTGAACAACAGCGAGCTGGTTACGCCGAGTCCAATCGAGCAGCACTACATCTCAACAACCCACGTTGGCAACGACCACCTCAACATAGCCGACCACCGCATTGCAGATACTAAACTATTACATTAGTTAACACCACATAACGGAACACAACCACAATATAATATATCCATAACCGTAATCGAAATCGAAAAAGACCGAAATTCAAATGGTTACAGTCATCGTTATCAGTAGAAGGACCGGAATCGAAACCGAAACCGAAAATTTGATATAGTTTCGGATTGTAACCGTAACCGGATCGAAATTTCATTTCGATCCGGATCCCTAATTGTTAATACATATGTAATACATCGAATATTTTCTTAAAAAGAACAATATATATATATATATGGTAATAAAGTAATATAACAAATATATATAAATGATGATATAATAATGATATGAGTATATATATATATATATATATATATATATATATACTACTATTATATACACTATTATATATATATATTATTATATAATAATAAAATTAAAATTAAAATATACCTAACTAAAGTTAATTAATAATTATATTATATTATATTATAATAATAACATATAAAATATACTATATATGTTTTTATTCTTTTGTTTTTTAAATTTATGGTAATGAACTTAGTAATGACTACTTAGATAATGAACTAATAGATAATTGCTGCGTTCCGATATTCACTGCAAGTATTGAAAATCTATAATATACGTGACCTGAATTATATATTTTCAGTACTGGCAGTAATATCGAAACGCAGCCAATGTTATATATTTATATATTAGGTGAGCAAATTCACTAATCTTAATTTTACGAATTCCTAAAAATTATTTCAGTTCATTACTTAAGTTCATTTTCATAAGTTTAAAAAGCAGAAAAATTAAAAAAAAGAAAACAATATACAATTATTATTTAATTAATAAAACAAACAAATATATAATAAAAAATATATATTATATAAATATTTTATGCCTATGATATTGGAGTAATATTTGAAAAAGTTATCGGAAAAATTTGTGCTGTTTCTCCGATAGATGACGTTGGCAATATAAATGATATGATATAATAATGATATGAGATAAATTGATATGACTTCTATATATTATTTGAAAAAGAACATTGTGCTTAACATTTTACTGCTTAAATGCTTAAAATTTGATTGCACAGATTGCGTTGTGTGTTGCAATCGCGTAAAGATGGACTACAAGAAAGAACATTTTCGGCACATTTTATTATATTATTATCAGAAGGACAACGCTGCGGATGCTCGTCGAAAGAGAATATGTAATGTCTATGGGGAAAATGCCATTAGTGAACGCACAAGTCAAAAATAATACGCGCGTTTCCAATCTGGATTTGAATGTGACCGATGCTGCTCGCTCTGGACGACCATTCGCGGATGTCGATGATCAACTCTTGGCCATGGTGTCGAATGACCGTTCTCACGATGCGGGAGATCACAGAAAATATACACCATTCAATCGTCGCCGACCACTTGAAACGCTTGGGGATGATGAACAAGGCCGATATTTGGATGCCGCATGAGTTGACTGAGCGGAATCTTATCGAACGAATTTCTACGTGTGATTTGTTGCTGAAGTGTTACCAATTCGATAATTCGATTTCCTGAAGCGCATGGTTACTGGGGATGAGAAATGGATTTTATACGAAAATGTCCTGCGAAAACGGTCATGACAAAAGCGCGGCAAGTCGATCCAAACCGTGGCCAAAGCTGGTTTGCACCCGAAAAAGGTGCTATTATCGATTTGATGGGATTACCTTGGAGTAATTTATTACGAGTTGCTTCCGCAAGATCAGACCGTTAATTTTGATAAATGCTGTACCCAATTAGAGAAATTGAAGCGCGTCATTGCAGGAAAGCGGCCGGTATTGAACAGAAAAGGTGTTGTGTTTCATCACAATAACACGAAATCACATACATCTTTGTAGACTCGTCAAAAACTGTTACGCTTAGATTGGGATGTTTTACCATATTCACCATATTCTCCCGATATTGCTTCATCAGATACATATTTGTTTCGCACTCTACAGAATAATTTTCAGGGAAAATCATTCACTTCTGTGGAGGACGTCAAAAATCACCTAGACAACTTTTTGCTCAGAAGTCCCAAAAGTTTTATGAGAAGGAAATTATGAAATTGCCGCCACGATGGCAGCAGATCATCGATCAAAATATGAATATCGTGGATTGAATAAATTCAATTTCGTTTCAATGATTCAATTTGATATCTCATTTTCATCTCCAAAATGGCACAACCTTTTCCGACAACCTAATATTAATATGAGTAGGATATAAGACCATGTGCTATTTTAAATAATATTTGAAAAAAATAGTTTTCCAAGAAACTAAAAAAATTAATTAATGTTTTCGGATACCTTACATTAAATATATAATATATTTTGAACAAATCAAGTGCTATAACTGGTGAATTTTTACTTAAAGTCAAAATTTGATTATCTGTTTGAATAAAATAATTCATTGATCGTCCTTTCATTAAAATAATATAAGGTTAAATAAGACTTTTCGCCTTTTATTTTTTCAATTGAAGTTTCAATGCACCTTCCTAAAAACAGAAGGAAAATATTATTTTTTATGTAGAAGAAATACAAATACACATGTAATAAAATGTACAGGCCAAATCTGTATTAATGATGAATTTGGAAATATGAAGAAATTATAGAAATCATCAACATAATTTTCTTTATCAATATTTGCCTAAAATTAAATTTTAAAATATTTGAGTCACACTCCGCAGTTATATATAAACAAATATGCTAAAAAACTTTCAATTTATAAATATTTATAGTTTGTAATGAACTTATATCTTTTTTCTTTCTCTTTCTCACAGAATTCGGAACTGGAATTAAATGTACCAAAAGAATAATGGCACGGAGATTATCTGGACAGATGAAGTAGCACGATTAGTTGTAATTTAGAACAAATTATGAAATTAAAAATAAAGTAAATTGTAGTAAAAATTATTTGTCTGTCACATAATTTATTATTATTAAAAGTAGTTTTAATGCGACCCAAGCGCTAAGTTTTTGTATGTCGTTTTTTTTCAGATTTTCTTTTATATTTTATTTTTATATAAACACAACTACAATAATTCAATAAAATTTTTTTGGCAACTACAAATTGACATTAATTTTGGATTGATAACGTCTTTTTTCACCTTTGCAAAGTTTCTTTTCTACTTCATATAATTAAAAGTTTGTGCCAATTTTTGATATCATGTAGAAATAGTGAAACGATTTTTCAAATAAAAATGAACTACAAAATAAAATGTATTTCAATGTAAAGCTCTCTTTATTTTATTAAATTAGAAGTTAGCACTCTATTAAATTAGAAGTTAGTTCTCTGTGATATGAAGATATCACATCTTTTGTACCAATATAAAATTTATTATTAAAAAGACTTTTGTAGGTGAAAATTTTTGTATAAAATTCTTTCTTTTACATAAATAAGAAAACAGGCGCGTGAACTTGGCATTATTTTTTACCTTTTTTAAAAGATAATTTTATTAAGCTATCACTCATTTTTTTAGTAACAAATAGTATTTATTATTTAGCATATTTGAAACATTTTTTTACTTTATATATACTAGAAAAAACAATCAGCATTCAATCATTATTTTTTAATAATCTTTTTTAAAAAAAATATATACACATTTTTTGCTCCTCTAGGCCATTTTTTCTTGTTAATTTGCGCATCATCAATGTCTATCCATCCATTAGACGTATGATCTCTACATATACTTGTATAATGATCATTTTTAATAGATGATCCATGAAAAATGGCATTTATTACGTTATAAAATTGTCCCCTTACTGATATTGTAGTTGTACTGTACGCAAATTAAATTGATCTATTTTTATTAATTTACTATTTTGTTCTGAAAATAATTATAAACAAATGATAAGTATTTCTCATGTTAATGTTAATTTTTTTTTAATATTATATCTTTCTATACAATTTTTATATAGGTGATATGAGAGTGATACCACCTCTCCTCCAGGGGCCGTCCCCCCCTCAGGGGGGGGAACGGTACGGGCTTCGCGAACCCGGAGTACCCGAGCTAGTGTGCATGGGAGAGAGAGAATGTGTGATGGATGAGTCAGACGTGGTGGAGGGCTTCCGGATATTCCCGGCAGACTAGCCAAGGGAGTAGTAGTAGCCCCCCGACCGCGCTGGAAGGTTGAGGCTTGGCGTCGCGACCTCTGGAGTAATAATACGGATAACCGTAAGTCCTGTATTCTCCTTCGGGAGGGTGTAGGCAAAGAACCCCCATGTCGTGATGGCCGCTCTCCTCCCAGTGGCTGGAGCCAATGCTGGGGTTGAAGGGGGACTGAAGGCGTGTGTGGGGAGTTATGTGGCCATATTCTCCCATACCGGGAGCTGCATGGGGTAAATTGCAGCACCGTCTAGCCTGGGGCACAGATGTCCGCCCTTCGAAGGGGTACGGGTCCGTATAGTAAGAGTGACGTTAAACCTTTTAACATAATAATACAAAAAAAGGCGCATGCACATCAAGAGGCACTCGAATGAGTTCGATTGTGTCTTCATCCTGCGAAAGTTCTTCTGTTTCCTCCGATATTACAAGCGCCTTCCTCTTTCTCTTTGTTCTAGAGCTGGTGCTTGCCGTCGACATGCCGTCATCATCATCTGGCTTGACAAACCAACTCTCCTCATCCACTGTCCGTGAAGGATTTGCCTCCATTGGAGAAGGCTTGCGGGAAGGGGGGGCTTATAATTAGGTCCCCTCGGTCTGCCTCTTTGCTTTGGAGGAGCTAGGGCTCTTATGTCTGAGGCGGTCAAACTCGCCTCTGACATACTCCGATAGTTGGAGACATACTAACGTCATCCCCCGGAATCCTCCTTTGTGAGGATGTCGGCGTAATAGGAAAAAGCCGTTCTATTCTCACCAAAACCTCCTCGTTGCTAACAATTCGAGGTTTACTCGAGTCTTCTTCCTGTTCCATGGTCACATCCTTCATTATCCGTCATCATCGAGATAGAACCGTCTTGCTCAATGTTGATTGCGTTATCCATGCCGCGCGTAGTAGTAAAGCGGTTCGCCCATCATGGGATCCACACCGCGGTGCAGCTACTTCCCCGTGTAAAAAGAACCCTAATAACGAGTGCAGAAGCCGAGAAGCAGC